CAAGGTCCGCCCGAGCCGGCGCTCGCGCGCGCAGCGGGACCGTGGCCGGCGCCGGGAGGCCTCCCGCGACGCCCGCGCGCAGAGCCCGTCGTCGGGCGACGAGCCCGAGCCCAGCCCCGGCAAGGAGAACGCGGGCCTCCGCGGCGCGCCCCCCCGAGGCACCGCCCCCGCGCCCCGCGCCGCGCGCCCCCCGCGCCGCCGCCGCCGCGAGTCCAGCTCGCAGGAGGAGGAGGTCATCGACGGCTTCGCCATCGCCAGCTTCAGCACCCTGGAGGCCCTGGAGGTAGGTGGGCGGGCGCGGCGTCGCCGGAGTGACTCGCCGGGGGGTCCCGGGACTCCTGGCCTTGCGACCGCCCACGGCTTCCTGGAGGGGCCGCCCGCGCGTGGGCACCCCCGAGGGAAGCCCGGGCCGCCCGGGCCCTGTGCGAGGGACGCTGGGCGCCCCCCGCGTGCCCAGACCGTCGCGTCCGGAAGGGCAGCAGCGTCGGGTGGGTTTAGGGACGATTTGAGCTGCAGGGGCAAAAAAAATCCACGCTTGGAAATCGGGGGCTGTCTGGAAGCACCGCCGGCCTCTTATCAGTTGTGTTTCTGTTGCCAAAATATCGCTCTGCTTGGTTAGGACGTGCTAGGGAGCTGGGCACTGCTGGATCTTAGGGAGGTGGCGATAAAATGGATACTCTGAGGGCCAGCCTTTTCCCCGTCTGCTCGACGGCTCTGCACGGAAGGGGGGAGGAGGGTTAATCCCGAGACCCCTCTTGGTGACCGCTGCCTGCTGCGTGGTTAGTAGGTTGGCAAAAAATATTGCTTGTTTGGCTGACAGACAATATTTGCTGAGCAGATACCGCCCCTCTTGCCTGAACCCAGCTGAACAGAGAAGGAAATTAAATGCTGTCGGAGAGTTGGGGCAGGCACTGTCTCCCCGGGACTGATGTGGGCAGGAGTGCCAGCCAGGCACCCTCCATGGGGCAGAGACCCCCAGCGAGGTGTGCCCCTGCAGCACGTGCTTTGGGGGGACCCTCATCTGCTGGACCTTGATTCCCAAGGATCACTCCATTTCCAGCCCCTCTCACTTTTCCTGAGGCTTGGGAGCCCATGGCCTGGGATCGCCCAGTCTGAGAAACTGAGCTTTGCGGAGAGGGGAGATGCCTACTGCAGGTCCTTGAAGCAAGTCCAAGCTCTGGGCGCTGCTGGCAGAGCCTCGGGTTAGGGCCGGCGGCCTCGGAACAGGCGCACCGCTGTGGATCTGGAGTGCATGGACGGAGCTGGGGCCGCCATGGGCGCAGGACATGGGGGTGGTGGCCGGGCTTGCCACACAGCCTGGCCATCCTCTGCTGTGCACATGGGATGGCTCCAGGGCTGGCACACGCCTTTGCTCTGTTGGGACAGGATGGCCCCAGAGGATAATGACATGGACTGCATGTTTCCTGAGCAATTACCGCAAGCCGGGTGCAAGCCAGGCCCTTTGCCTGGCTCCTGCACGGCAGCTGTGAGACCTGTGGGGATGCCCGCCTTCCCGAGCTGTCCCCACCTCACCGGCCCCTCCTGGGTCCCTGACTGCAGCCTCCTCGCTGCTCCGAGCGGGTCAGCCCTAGTAGCCTGCCGTTCTCTGTTTTGTTGATGTTTGGTGTCTTAGTGTCCCAGCAAGAATGCCAGCTCCGACCCCCTCTGAAGTCGTGCCCCTCACCCCCACCCCGTCGATACGAGCCACCCTCCTTCCTGTCATCCCCACTCTTCGAAGCTGTTTCAGGATGTCTTTGCTCTCCATTTTCGTCTCTCTCACAAGAACTTGTAAACTGGAGGACAGCAGACACTGTCCTGTGTGTCTTCTACAGGGTCCGGTGCTGGGAAGAGCTCGTGTGTAGAAAGTGCTCCAGACGCGTCTGTCAGGAATGAGTGAGTGAGTGAAGAGAGGAACTATGTTCAGGAAAGCCAGGTCTTGGGCCTGGGTCACAGCATGTGCTGATCCAAGCCTGTCTTGGACCCACGGGCTTTGCCTGCAGTGGCTCTGACTGGCTGTCCACCTCCGCCGGCAGGGTCATGGGCCCCCAACCTGCAGGCAGTGGTTCAGTGGGTTTTGAGAACTTTGGCTCAGACCAGCCGGCCCTCCAGTCACAGTGAGATGAGTTTGCTTCTATGTGGTGTTCACACAACCACGGACCCCGGCGGGGGGGTTCATGTACCTTCCTTTGCCCTTTGGAGCTTGCTTGGGAAAGTACGGGGCTTCTGCACAAGTCGCAACCTCACGATCGTCCCAGGCGCGTTTCTTGGTTGGCCACGTTTTTTGCTCAAGTGTCGTGGTTTTTCCCCAAAGTTCAGGTAATTCATAATTATACCAGTCGTAGTGACTGAGTAGGTGAGCATTCATTCCACCTGGTAGTGTTCTGGTTTACTCCTCAAATGATCCCTCAGGAGGGCTGGATGCCCCCATTCCACAGATGGGGACGATGAGGCACAGTAAGGAGCACGGATCGACATGGCTGTCCGGCCTTGGAGGGAGCGGGTGCTGCCCTGCAAGGCCTCCCACATGGGACACCGAGGGAGATGTGGCCAGGAGGACCCACCCAGAGGCACAGCCTGCCCTCGACTCTGCCGCCTCTGCTCACAGTCCCTCCGCCCCCACCCGAGTCCTGGGGGCTCTTCCTATTCTGGGATGCTGGAGAACAGGACACTCAGGAGTCAGAGGAAGCCCCTGTAACCCCTGAGGCTGGCTCATGCCCTCGGGACAGTGCAGCGGTGTAAACAGCCAAACAGGTGTAGACTTGCCAGGAGGTGTAGCTGCCTGCTGGAGTCCTGTTACCCGGTCCTGAGGGTGTCTGAGCAAGCCCCGCCAAGACACCACGTGACGCCCAGCCCCTGCCCCATCCCCTGGGGCAGGCTCCCCACTCACAGCCCCTTCTGCCCCAGGCAGGCCACCCTGCCCACCCGTCCCAACAGGCCTTTTTCACCCTCTGTGCCCCGGCAGGCCCCCCTTACCCCATGCCCGGGGCAGGTCTCTGTACCTCTTCTGTGCACCAGGCAGGTCCCCGCCCCCTTTCTGTGTCCTGGGTGGGACACACAGGCTGTTCTGTGCCCAGGACAGGCCCCCTTCACCTGCACATCTGTACGTGTTCCTGTGGGGAAGAGGAGTCCTTGCTTGTCCTTTGTGTCTGTGTGTGCTGTGAACACAGCAGGCACTCCCTAAATGTTGGCTGGGGTGGCTGTTGGCTGAGGAGGCCCAGGGGTTGGTCTGGCTCAGGGTGTGTCTACAGCCCTGAAGACAGCGTCAATGATTAACCTCAGATGGAGACAGCAGCCCTGTGTCAGGGCTGAGGACCCTCGAAGGGGCGAACTTCTGGTCCAGGTGTGCTGGGGTGGGTGGGGCAGCGTGGCAGGTCCGAGCCAGCCCTCTTGACTTTATGATCTCTGGCCAGGGGCAGTGGTTTGTGGGGACAGGGGACCTGAGGAAGCCCCGCTGGCCTCTCCCCTGCTCTTGCTCTGACTGGGGACGCTGGGTGATTGGGAATGTGGCTCTTGCTCTCCCTCGTCTCCTGTGATGGCCTGTCCCCTGATTGTACTGTTCAGAAGACATGGAAGGCCGTCTGCCCTTGGGGCAGTGCTGTGGCCAGACCTTCCTGTCTGTGCTGCGGTTCTCTGCCTGGGGTCCTCCCAAGAAGGCTGAGGTCTGAGAGGCCTGTCCAGGGCCCTGTCAGACCTCTCTTCCCAGATAGCACGGGCCATCCTTATCTGACCTCAGGCCACAGAACAGGTTGTGCCGGTCCCTGTATATCCCAGGAGATAGGCCAGGCCTGCTCAGCCCAGTGGGCTGTACCACTCCTCCCACGCGCTGG